CTGAAAGATGTCTGGCGCGAAGCGAACCCAAATTTGTGTCGATATACGTGGAGGAAGTGTCATCCATTGCAACAATCCAGAATATATTACTTCCTTGTAAGCAGCGTGTTTATAGATGCTCATCATGTGGAAAAAATTGACATTGAACCCGGCCCAAGAAGCGATCGCAGTATCATAACGTTCTCAGTAAACGTATTTGGGGACAAGCGGGGACCAGGTGTATGGAGATTGAACCTCAGCTTACTCGAGTGCGCTGATGTGGTTAATGAAATTAAAGAGGAAATACATACCTAGGGCAAAACAAAGGCAGAGCCAATACCATGGGGCTAGCGAACTAGGCCTGTTGATAGAAATGCTGCTGTCAAATGCAAGAGTAATATGTATTAAGGCGAGTAAGCGGAAGGCGCGAGAAAGGCGAAAACGCGAAAAAGAGTTAGAAGCCAATGTAAAAGAACTGGAAAACTCACTATAGTTCTTTTTTTTTTAAAGGACGCTGGCCCAAAGTTCAATATCGAAGCTCTCACGTGAGTTTTGGCAGCTTCAGTGTCTGGCGAAGACTGAAGAGTTTCTTACCGAAAAAAATAACCGATTTCAAATTGTGCACGGTAAGTAGCTGGAAATTATTTCTGAAAAATGAACATATTATGATGACGTCACTGGTGGCAGCAGGCACCCAAATGTCCGTGCATTGGGACAAGTGTCAACGAATTTGGGTGAAACTTCTTAAAAATGAACACATTATGATGACGTCACTGGTGGCAGCAGGCACCCAAATGTCCGTGCAATGGGACATTGGGACAAGTGTCAACGAATTTGGGTGACACTTAGTTTTTCACTGTTGCCGAGCTTATAATCGAGTAAGCAGTTCCGTACATGATAGTTATAAGTTACATTGCAATACATGTTCGACAGTATGACGTCACCACTGTTTTCATATACAGGGTGTCCCGAAATTGATGCGCGGTTGGTGCCGCATGTTATGTTGTCCCTCCCGAGTGCTGAACAACTGCAATTTTACCGGCTATGGCACCACGGACATCTTGCTGGTCACACGATCACGTGAACCAAGCGGCTAACCCGACCGCGGCCGGTGGTGGGCGCGGGAGGCCACTCTTGTCCAGACAGGCAACGTGGAGAAACCGCATATTACCAAAAGTGAAAAGGCACAAACTACCGATCCGCTACCGCGCGGTGGGGATGATCAAGGACGGTGTGACCCAGGTTCCGGATGCCAGAGAATTGGACGTCAACTCTGCGACAATTAAACTTTGGATGGACTGCAAACGATTTTTTTATTTTTTAATAACTTTAGTCCGAATGGTTGAATGGGTGGATTTGAGGAATCAGAGCCCGCACTAAGCATAGCTTGTTGTGCTGACCCTGACCCCACCACCCGATCGCGCAATTCCAGCTGTATGGCAGAATTTTGTCCGAACGTTTAACGTGCCCTCACGACTGGACACGGCCCTCTCCGCTCACTCACGTTACCTGGCTACTGTGCGGCCCCTGCCACAGACACGCACGCCATTACAGGTAGGAGCTAAATGTGGCCGCCCGCACCGGGGCTTGAACCGGGCTCTCACTACCGGTTAAGCGTCGAATTCCGGCGCTTTAATCCACTCGGCCACGGAGGGGACATCGGGAGAGATCACTCAGGTCAGGAACGATCAGGAGAGACACTCAAGAACAGCACAGTTCGAGGGCGGAAGACTGCCTTGAGCAGAGTGGCGAAAATCGTGATTGCAAAGTCGACCTTTAAAAAGCACCATTCAACATCGCTGACAAGAAAACTGAATGAGATGCATGTCCCAGCATCCAAATCGACCCTCCACCAGTATTTGAAGACTATCTTGAAGCTGAAGCTGCTCAGCTTCAGGATGCAGACTTGGCCTACCGTGGTCTAGAAGTGCAGGCAGCTGGATTTCGCCAAGACCCACAAAAACTGGACCATTCAGGACTGGAGATGCGTCCTTTTCAGTGACAAGGTGCCCTTTGTGGTCTCTAAGCCCCTTACTGCCAGAACGATCGAAATGTGGGCCAACGGCAGCTCTGAGGAGTCCGCTGTCGAGACCGTGAAACGTCTGCTGAAGAATCTCATTTGGAGCATGATGAGCTACAGAGGCGCTCTGGCCTCTGAGCTTTACGAGGTGCCTCGGGGACAGACCGTGACTGCTTATTATTATGTCAACGAGGTGCTGGAGAAGACTGATGCCACAAAGATGCTGAGGGAAAAGGTAAATGGTTCAAAAACCAGACTCACACTTTTGTCCGACATGCCCAGGGCCATTTTCCAGCAAGAAAGGGCTCCAGCTTATCACGCCAGGAAGACCCAGGACTGGTGCCGAGCGAGGCTCCCAGGCCTCTGGGAGAAGGGGACATGGTCTGGCAACAGTCTGGACCTGTCCCCGATCCAAATTATCTGGACGATCGTCAGAAAAGAGCCCAGCAAGCTTCCACGGGCTAGCTCAGAGAAGAGGCTGTTTCAGAAGATATAAACGGCATGGCGCTGTTTCAAAGGAGAGACTCTTGACAACCTGAAACGTGACACGCTAGAGTGCAATAGGCCGTGTATGCAACTGAATGGGGACTATGATAACATATAAGCCGTGAAATAAATTCGAGCACTTTATAAGTTATTGAGGATAGAACAACCGCGCATCAATTTCGGGACACCCTGTATGGTTCCAAAACGCACATATGTAAATTATCGGGAAGAAATCACATGTTAAAATTAGTCGACGTTCGATTTTCTCAGGTTCAGTTTTTTTCTCGTTTTGCTCGCTAAAACACGTGCTTGTTCGAAAAACATACTTGGAACCAGCGTCCTTCTGAGAAAAAAAACGAACTATAGCATTGTTGCCACCAGGTGGGTGACGGCACGTGATCGCCTGAGGCGGTGGGGGTAAACATATTTTCGTCATTCAATGCTCAATGCAATCGCTGCGACTTTTTACAAGACCTTCTCCTCGTCGATGTTTCTTGCTTTCAACGACTGGTCCCCGAGTGATGACTATCCTCTCGCAAGATAGGAGGAATGTAGCTACCAATTAAGCCCAAAAAACATATCGAAAATGTTACAAAACACTTCTTTTGAAGGACATGAATTAAATGGTTTTGGAGCCTCACGAAACGAGTTTCAGATATGACGCGTAAAATAAACTGACGCATAAAGACTGTGTTCAAAAGTGTGAGCGGCAGCTCCGCAAGCACTTATTGACAAATGAATATTGTAGGTACTGCTCGGTCGCCATAGCAACAAGTAAGTGTCACAAATTTCGAACACTATCTGAGTGCGCCAAGTTCGACTACATCGAGGACTACGGGTGATGGTTGCCAGCTGATTAAATTAATGAAACGCGAATAAATTCAACTTTCGTTTGAGATGGCGAGTAAAATCTGTTTGTTAATTTCAAATATCATTGAATTAGTTTTCGTATATAAAATAACTACAAACGCCTCTGTGCAATGAATTAATCAAGGCTTATGGAAATCGTGAGTAGGGTTGGGAAAAGCAGAAAAAGGATCACGTGACTGGCGTCCCAGCCTTATCTGTAAGAATATTGGTTGCCACCATCCATAGATCTGCAGGACGAATATAAACGAAAGAAGGATGAGCTGGATACATTCAAGCTACGTGTCGCCGAAAAAGCGATGCTCTGGTCTCGAGCGAACTGGCTAGAACACGGTGAAAAACTAACTAGATACTTTTTAAACATGCATTGCAAACCAAAAAAAAGTGCTGACAAGGACATTCACGTGTTGGAGGACACGGAGGGTAAGATTATAACCGGAAACAAAGACATATTAAATAACTGTAAAACATTTTTTTGGGGTCCTGACGGGCCCTTTGGCCCGTCGAAGTTTTAAGTGCCGAGTCTTCTCCCGGGGCCGGGGTCTCCAATTACCCACTCCGGCTCCTGAGAGATCCGTCAGGCTCTTGAAGTCGCACACAGGCACCCAACTCCTGAGGACACCGGATGCGCCCCAAGGGCCCGCACATGCTTTTTTTGAGGCTCAAAAGCGGTCCCCGAGAGCCCTAGCTGGTGTCTGAGAAATACACTGAAAAAAAATTTTACTCACTTTTCTGAGTAATGACTGAGTTGCCATTTTGTCCAATGGTAAAACTCACTCTAAATCCGCGTACTCAGGTAAAACTCAGGGCGGAACGCAGGTAAAACTCGGGCAAAACTCATTGCAAGTGAGTAGCATGTGAGTAACAAAGTGAGTTGCCATTTTGTCCGATGGTAAAACTCAGATAAAACTCATTAAGTACTCATGCGTAACTCATGTCCTACTCAGACAACTCAGACCAAACTCAGGTAATAGTAAGTCATTACTCATGAAAAACTAGGAAGTAACTCATATGTAACTCAGCTGGTACTAATGTATAACTCAGGTGGTAGTACGGCCATAACTCAGGTGGAACTCATCGGTTATTCAGTGGAAACTAGGGCTGTACTCAGGACGTACTCACATCGATAACTCATACGATACTCGGGTGTTACTCAGGCGCCGCCTGAAACGGCTGATCTGATTCGTTTCATATTGGCTCAAGCCAATATATAGGCTCGCCGCCCATGATAACAGCTGCCGCATCAGCATTATGCAATAGGTATGCATGCATGATGCTGATACATACAACAGCCACTACCAGGCAGCTAGTCTATATATTGGGATTGGCCAATATATAACGAATCATTGCCCAAAACCAGCATACATATCTGTATTATAGCATGCCCGACCAACGTCTAGTCTTGCACTATTCGCCCCAGCCCTTACCAAGAAATATATGTTTGTAGAAACGGTCGCATTGCGCTGTATTTCAATTATGACACACGCCAAACTGCGTCGGGGGAGGGATCGACTCCACGTCAGCTCAGCTTCACTCTTTTGCCAGCTTCTCGACCTCAGTCTTCGCGGCTACAGGTGGCTGGCGCTCAGCATTGAATGGTGTTTGGAGCACATGGATACACACAAACCACAGCGTGTTTCGTTAATGCGCCGTTTGTTGATTGAGCACAAAGTGCGCCGTCGCCCACAGCAAGACTCCCTTCCAAACCATGGATCCCCACAAGACTTCCGTTCGAACTACGCTGAGGCGGCACCGTTCGTTTCCTTCGGACTTGTTATGATGGGGGTGATCCAAATTTTCGTCACCCGTGTACGCCACCACTGACGCCTTCTCCGCCAAGATGCAGAGGAGGCTCAATGGGCCGTTCCCTGAAAACACAATAAAAAAGTCAGATTTTCTTTTGCCAGTAAGAGATACGGAAGTTATATGGGCATGCAAGTTGATTGAAATATCAAAAGTTATCAAGTTACTTCAGCTCAAAATTAATGTTAAACCGCGCCGTGCTGGTGCTCAGAGTTTACCGTAATGTACTGGGGGGGGGGGGGGGTCGTCTTCACGTCCCCTCTTCTAACTCGGCTGTTGGGCCACGTAGCGACACGCAGTAAGCGGCATTCGAAAAAGCATAAAAGATATTTAAGGAAATACTTGGGTAATTTTTAAGGTCAAGTCAAGTGCCAGGTCACCAGAGGTCAGGATAGGCCAAATTTTGCTTATTTCAATATTTTCGAAAAACTGGTGCTTAACTCGGAACCAAAAGAGCTGCCCGCGGAAAAATGCAGTCAAAAGCCCTTTCGACGTTTTTTTTTGCTGGCGCTTGATCTCAGATTTGACCTCAGTTCAACAATTAAGCCTCCAGAGAGCAAAAACTCTAAAAAAAGCCGTTTTTACGAAAATGTTTTCTGTAATACTTTCCACTCAAGAGTCACGATATTTATTTTGCGGCGTTAGCATAATGTTCCTCTCGTCGGGACGAATGAACTATAATTAGACCTTGAAAGGCCATTTTTAAAACTTGATCTCAGGTTGACCTGACCAGGTCATGTTGCATATCAGTCGATCCAAACCGTCAAGCTGAACACATATGAGGTGTTTTATTGCACTAGCAAATATATTTTATACATGCCGTAAGGTTGATACTTGAGACATGGGACAGTATCAAAAACGCTATTAAATGAAATCCGTTCGATAATTTTTTAACATTTTACCTCAAACTGGTGTGAAATCGAGCGGTGAATTCCCTGAGCAAAAATGACAAAAATATCGAACGGTTTCCATGGCACGGTGCACGATCGTCAGCGACCATTGAAAATTTTTCTCATGTAAAGTCATTTGACGTGACCTGACCTTGAACGACCTGGGTCTAAAATTTTTTCCATATGCAGAAAAAAGGTATGAGCAGGTGTGCCGAAAATGGTGGCGCTGCGCGCCGCCGTTCTTAGATATTCGCGAAAAACCTGAGGGGGCGGGGGGGGGGGTGTAAAACGCCACCCAGCACAGCGCGGGTCAAGGTGGGATGGTCACCTTAACAGACGGGTTTTAGTCTCGCAAAACACTTCCATGGGCGTCCAATATTAAAATCAACTTGAAACAATCACATAAAATGTGTTAACCCTCGCCGGCCGAGGGGGGGGGGGGCGGGTGCCGCCCCCCCCCATAGGGTTTTTCGCGATAGCTCCGAACACGCTGGCGATAGAGAGCTGAAACTTGGCATACCTGACCTTTGATCCAAGCCGGATCTTTTGACACCAACCGCATTTTTGGGTCAGGTCAGGTCACTGACCTATGACGTCATAAGTGAACCTCTGCACGGTCTTCAGATGTCGCAACTTCGCAACGCCCTCACTGCCAGAGGAGATGTCACAGGGAAATGAAACTTGCAGGATCTAGTATCCATTATGAGTCCCACAATTTGTATATCTCGGATTTTTCCTAAAGGTCATATGAGGTCAGGTCATTTTCGTGACCTCACCATTATAAGTCAATGGGGAAAAATGAAAACTGCTATTCTGGCGCCGGGAACGATCTCCAACTATCTCAAGCACACAGAATCGTGATTTGATGCACTCCTTGCAAGGTTAGATGCGTCACTTTTGCAATGTTGACCTTGCGTGACGTCATTTATGACGTCATCAAGGTCATATTAGTTTTTCGTCAATAACTCTTGATCAAATTGAGCTAGCGAGTCGGGAAAGCCACCAATGGACTCAGGAAGACCTGCCGAATCGAATGATATGCGACATGACCTCTTTCGACCAACTTCGTGACCTGGGGGTGCTGACCTGACCTTGACCTGAGGTCAACACCCCAAGTTGACCTGACCCGGACAAAAAGTATATCATTCGACGCGCCTGAGCGAGACGAACACGATGCTGCCAAAATTGGCGCTCTGCGGCCGTTTTTTGCGAAGTTATTCACCAAAAACTGAACCGTACCCTGGAGCACTTGACCTGACCTCAGAGGTCACCGGTTGACCTAGGACCTTAAAATCGGGTACCAATCTCTGCGTCTCGTAACGGCGCACACGCTCGTTTTTTCCGCGACGCGCTAGCTCCACCAGGGGCGAAACGGCGAGGGGGGGTCGTACCCGCCCCCCCCCCTCGGCCGGCGCGTATGTAGAAAACCAATAGGTCCGGCGAGGGTTAAACTTAACAGTAATGGATATATATATATATATATATATATATATATATATATATATATATATATATATATATATATATAATATATTAATGTTTATATTGATGCATGTATAATATTGAAGCAAGTTAACATACTTAATTAACCCTCGCATGTGTAGGGGGGGTCGGATGGACCCCCCCCCCCCTTGGTTTTTCGCGAATAACTCGCGTAAAAAGCGGCCGATCGCGACGAAACTTTCAGTACCCTCGCATTGATCAATTTTACACCTACCCTGAAAATTTTATGACCCTGACCCAAATGACCTTTGACCTGTGACCTCTTTTCCGAGACCATGTTTGGCCGGAATCGCGATTACGCGTATGTCGGCTCGCATTAGCCGCGCGTTTGCAAGCTTTTCGTGGTTTCAAACGTTCAAACATGTGATTTGATGCTGCTCCCATGCATTAGGGTGGGTGTCAAGGTCACCTGAAGGTCAGGTCAGGTCATTGACCTTTGGTGACCTCGGGTGACCTCGGCTCACTTTTTCGAGTTTTACATGTTTCTAGGCTACTTTTTGGAGCTGAATTCGAATTTAGCAACCATTTGAACATTTACGAAGTAGTTTTGATGCCTTCGTAACATGTTACGAAGCTGTCAGAGGCGGTTGACACGTACTACGAATACCCGTCACAACCCCTACTGGTTGACCTGACCTGACCTGACCCGACCTGGTCTAAATGCTTAAAGACATCATCTGTGATCAAAACTAACACGATATTCGTGATCAGCACCCCGAAAAACCCCTTAGCAGCCACACTTTACGACTTTCTAATAGGTCCCGATTTTCCCGACTTTGGGTCATTGACCTGACCTGGAAGGTCAATCAATGACCTAGGACCTTAAAATTGGGTATCATCGGCTTCCTCTCGTCACGGGCAACACGCTCGTTTTTTTCCGCGAAGCTCTAGCTCAATCAGGGGCCAAACGGCAAGGGGGGGGTCCAACCGACCCCCCCCCCCCTACACATTAGAAGCTGGCAAACGCCGCACACATGCGAGGGTTAATTGTTAGTTACGTTGCTTTTCCTTATTCTATTGTATAAAAATGAACAGATAATGAAACACAAACCTTTTGTGCGGAAGCATGCCGCTTGAACTCGGCTTAGCCATGATTTAAGCCGCTGCATCGAGGCCTCGTAGTGGTCAGTGCCGGCTTCGAGCCGGCTGAGCAACCCACCACCCGGTCGAACTCGCGCCAGAACTGTAAGAAAGGTTGAAAATGCTCGCTGAAATCGAATAGTGTACGAAATTATGTGTGTAGGCATTAAAAACAAACAGTCGTAAAAATAATAACAGTCGGAAAAATAACAAGCACAAACGAGACAGAAGAATCTTAAACGGTTCAGCGAGCGGAATTAAGACCATGGGCCCCACCACCGGGGGGGGGGGGGGGGAGGGTACGGGGGACGTGTCCCCCAATATTTTACATTTTTAACATTGTGCCTATGGGTGCTGCATGGAAAGAATCGACTTCAAACAACCTTCGCCCCCCCCCCCAAAAAAAAAACCATCGGGTCGTGACGGAGCTGTTGTTTAAAGAAGTAAAAAGGGTCAAACGAACGTGCTTTTAGGATAAGGACAACATTATCCCACGAACATGTTTTTTTAATTTAAATATAACATAACTCACCTCTTCTTTCTCGAACTATGCCGGGTAGGTATCCCTCAGTTTCTCGATCGATCTGCTCCGCCGTTCACGGTTGGCACCGACCTCCTGACGTCGGCGGGGAATGTCTGCTGGTCCATCAGTTCACCTCCCTGTTCTCCGTGGCGCATACGATTGATAAAAGCTTCATCGACAATCACCGAGTTCTTCACAGATAACTTACCCATCCTTCGCTGCACGCCTTCCCCGCTCCTGCACTCTCCTGCACAATTTCACAATACGGCCTCAACAATTCAACGTGAACTACGCGAGTCACCGCGCCACAACGGACTGAAGCGCGCGCCGCGGTTTTCGAACGCAACGGCTTTAATACTCATCACGCGAACTCACGCATCACGCAGGAAACTCACCCTGCCGCGCATGCGCGCATCTTCAAGCCAGGGGTACCTCACGCACAACTGCACGTGAATTCGCGAGAACTCATGCATTGCGCAGATAACTAGATTTGCCCAAGCAAAACTCATTTCCGACTCAGTTCGAATTCACGCAACTAAGCACTCAGAACTCACGCATAACGAAGTCACCCTGGTGATGTGAGTTAGATCAGCCAATAAGTGAGCACCACTATCGTATTCACTGAGTTTCTTCATGAGTTATTACTGAGTAATGCCTGGCCTGAGTAAAAAATTTTTTCAGTGTAGCTCCCCGATAACATTCAGAACCCAAGTCAATCACCAGACGCATGTATCTAAAGACCCACATATCTTTAAGGGTCTCTTCAGCCGTCTTTGAGTGCCACACCCATGTCAAGGGGCCCTACGTCGGACTCTAGGGGCCCCACGAGAACCTTTGAGGGCAAATATTGCCCAGGTATACTATACCCGAAGGTCCGCACAGATCTTTTACGTGTAGGGCCCGCTAAAATCTCTGAGCGGTTTTGCTGGCCTCTGACAGAAAAGACGAGTTTCTGAGGCCCTAAACGATCTCCTGCGGAGTGTCGGCAGTCGGCACCGTGTGGTCACGTCACTGAACTCTATAATGTGGAAGGCGCATCGGCCGCCAGATGGTGTCCAACGGTGCCGCCATGTTGCGCAGACCAGGAAGCGGCCGCCGCCTGTGTTGGGAAATAGGGAATTCGGGACCTCGATTTACGTTTGCGGCCGCTGCATCCGTTACGTTCAAGCTATGTAGACACTACGCAGAATTGAGTTGAGAACAAGATGACATCTGAAAAAAATCCTCAACTACAGGGAAGTTATACGTTAAACCTTTATAAGTGAATGAGGAAATATTCACTATTGGCGCCGGGAATGATCTGAAACTATCTCAAGCATATAGAATCGTGATTCCATGCACTCCTTGCAAGGTCCAATGCTTCACATTTGCATTGTTGCCCTTGCGTGACGTCATTTGTGACGTCACAAGGGTCATAAACTTTTCTTCAATAATTCCCGATCAAATTGAGCTAGCGAATCGGGAAAGCCACAGATGGACTCAGAAATACCTGCCGAATCGAATGATATGCAACATGACCTTACTCGACAAGCTTAGTGAGCTGAGAGCTCTGACCTGACATTGTCACGAGGTCAATGCCGTAAATTGACCTCAACCGAACAAAAAGTACATCACTCGATGCGCCTGAGCTAGGTGAACACGATGATGCCAAAATCTCGGCTCTACGGCCATTTTTGGCGAAGTTATTTACCAAAAACCGAGCCCGTGCCTTAGGTCACTTGACCTGACCTCAAGAGGTCACCGGTTGACCTGAGACCTTTAAAGCGGATTTCTACCAACCAGTCACTCTGCATTGTACTCTGCCTCATACGACCACTTTACCGCTAAATTCTAGTTGAATTAGCGGCGCATTAGCGGGGTGGGTTCAATCAAGCCTCTCAGCCGGGGCAAATTTAGAAAGACGATGGTCCGGCGAGTGAATTTAAGGAATTCTGAAGATTTGATCGTGTTCCCACTCAATTCTGCGTAAGATGCCGGGTTCCGTATCTACGTAACTTGAACGTAACGGATGCGGCGGCCGCAAACGTAAATCGAGGTCCCGAATTCCCTATTCCTCAACACAGGCGGCGGCCGGTTCCTGGTCTGCGCAATATGGCCGCCACCGTTAGACACTACGGCCAATAGGGTTGAAGCGGCAGTGCTCCCCTGTGGGTCACGTGCACCTCTGTGGGTCAACCCTTAACCTGACTTCCAATGGCCCTACATAGGGCCCAGAGAGGCTCACAGCCCAGAGAGGCTTCAGGTGCCGAAAGAAAAAGCCCCTGTCAGGTGGCCTACAATTTTTTTCAAGTCTTAAAAAAAAAATCATCGTGCCAGGGCTGTGACGAAAAAGTGGCCTAAATCCGATGAGAAAACAGGATTTGTGGGTACCTTAGGTTTGGCTCCTTCCCTGGTGTGCCCGACGCCCGCTCTCAAGCCCTGGATCCGCCAGTGAAACCATCCCCTGGCATTTCGACAATTCTCCACCCATGCTGAAGCTGCTCAGGAGTAGGTAGGTAGGTATGTAATGCATCAAAATCCGAGTTTTTGGATTTTGGAGATACTTTTTGGGGGTATGTTCCCGTAGCGTGGAAAAAACATTTTTGAATCCGCCTATGGCATTATCTCGTATAGTATCTTGCCTAGAGATGTCAATCGGATACCAACTTTTTGGTATACCGATACCAAACCGATACCAACTTGGTATTTGGTACTTCAATCGTAATGTGTTTGGTATTTTGTTGGTATCATAGGCCCTCACTAATGTATTAGAGGCTAAGATATCGGTAAAAAGTTGGTATTTCCCTCAGTTTCTCAAGTTGGTTTGGTTTCGGTATTCTCCCGTGGTTTTAGTTGGTATTTGGTTTGGTATCGGTCAGTGGCGTAGCCAGAGATCAGCGAAAGGGGGGGCAATGGTGCTCGAGGGGGCGACTTTTTCCCTTGAGAGGGGCGCCATTGTCAGCTAGTGACAGGGGTGTCAGGCTAAAATGTAACGTCATGTTCATGCATGATTTACTATAGGTGTTGCAAAATACATAAGAACCAGCTTTCGCTGATTTTCATAAAGTCCAATTAATGCAATTTGCAGCCTGGTGTTTTTTTTTTATCAAAAAACCTTGATCTAGATGAATTTTTAGCATGATATAGGAAACGAGCTCAGGCTACGGACATTTTATTCTCAAAATACGCATCCATGCGAATTCGAATGACCTGTGGGCTGCAGCCTGTGGTCGACCGGGGTTGCCGTGTTTAGAATATCAGAGCGCACGTATGTAGGATACACGCTGCGACTTATTGCCTAAATTGGAATCAAGGAAAGACTTGAACAATTAAGACCATGAGATCCACCATGAGATCCCAACTCATTGTCATACCAGCAGCGACTGCAGTCAGAGGCGACCGAACGCTGACATACGTTCTGGATTTTTTCTCCACACATCCCCTTTACAATTCGATGTCTAGTGCGTGCAGCCCCTACTTCTGGACATGCATGACTGCCTCCAGTGACTGACTGCCACGCCTCCAGAGGGAAACAACTCCAAAAATAACAGTTTTTATTAAAATCGTTTTCTGCAATAGCTTTTGACTCAAGACAGTGACGACATTTATTTTGCCAGCATCGTATTCCTCTCGTCGAAACGCGTCGAATGAACTATACGTTGACCTTGAAACGTCATTTTGAAAATTTGACCTCAGGTCAAGATCATGACCTTGATGGACAGGGTCATGCTGCATATCACTCGATCCGTATCGTCGAGCTGAACACATCTGACGTGTTTTCACCGCTTTAGCAAGTCTCTATCAAAAGGTATAGCCAAAGAAATGCTGGTGACCGTTCATGACCTGAGATGACCTCAGGGGCACACAGAAGGGTCACAGGTGCATTTTATCGATTCAGTGTGTTATGTTTACCTATGTACCGATGTTTGAGAGGGTTTTGAACCACATTCGTCCAAAAGAGCCGCATTTCAATTTTCTCCAATTGACTTATACCTAATGGAGAAGTCGCAAAATTGGCCTGACCTTAGGTCATGGATATCAAAAGTCCGAGATAAACATTTTATACATATTTTTAGTCTTATCAATCTCTGATAGTTTTAAAAGTGATCGTTCCGTCGGTGTGGCGTACGCTGGGGCGGCACCGCACTGCTAGGCGGGGGCGGCATCACAATAATGGGGGGGGGGGGCAATGCGCTGGGGGCAGCACTTGCATTGAGGGGTGGCATTGTACGGTGAATGGGCGGCGTCGCATTGAGGGGCGGTATCGCAACGAGGGGTGGCACTATCGAGGCTGCCTTATAAGAAACGCTTGGCACATCCTAGCCCAGCTCGGCGCCGCCTGGCTGCTGCATCTTGAAAAGGGTCCTTGGTGTCGATGAGACAGCCCCATTGTAAAATAATTACCTACCTAGCGTCAGTGGTTTCGGCGGGGGGGGGGGCGCTATCGATCTTGAATGGGGCGGGGCGACTCTGAAGTCTCCATTCAGATGGGCGTCAGTGACTACTGGAGGGCGCCAACGAACTCGGATAGGGCGAATGTGATCTTCAGAAGGGCACCGGGTGATCTAGAGGGGTGTAATGCTTAGATGGGGTCACTGCTGCCTTCAGTAGGGCGTCGGACGCTCTGAAGGGGCGCCATTGATCTCGGATGATTCGACTGTTATTTTCAGAGGGGCACCAGTGGTTTCAGAGGGGCGCCATTGATTTAGGATGGGGCAACTGAAGTCCCGGTTCAGGTGGGCGCCAGTGGCTGTTGAGGGGCGCCAGCGACCTTGGATTGATGGGGCGACTGTGATCTTTAGAGGGGCGTTGAGGGGCGCCATTGGGCATGGATGGGGCCGCTGTTGCCTTCAGCAGGACGCCGGACAGTCTAAGAGGGGCGCCTTGAAATTGGGTGGGGGGACTGTAGTCTCAAGGGGCGTTGTCTCGGATGGGGCGAATAAACTCTAGAAGGGCGCCATTGGTTTCAAAGGGTTGCCATCGATCTTAACCCTCGCACGACCAGGCCATTTCTCATAACACGAACGACCAGGGGGGGGGGTTGTTACGACCCCCCCCCCCTGGCGTTTCGAAACGGAAGGTCGTAGAGCTTAGCGGAAAAAACTAACAGATTGCTCTCAACGAGATCTCGCGATTGGTGGTATATTTTTTGGTCCTAGGTCAACATTTGACCTACTTTTGACCGGTCAAAGGTCAAATTTTCGGAAAAATAGACTTTTTTCAACTTTCGGCGGCGATTGCGGCAAAACGGTGGGAGATATCGACTTGAAACCTTCACTATCGTGTTCTTTGATCAATTCTCTATCGTTTGGTATGTATTTTGTTTCCCTAGCTCTAAAAATGGCGCGTTGGGAGCGCCGGAAGTCGGCAAGGTCACAGTCGGCGGCAGAAATTCGAAAAATCAAAATTTAAATTTTTGAAATCTGATTGTATTTTTGGATTTGGGAGGTCCATTTGCTCCCTATAGAAGCTAATATTGC